ATATAAATGTCTGGTTTGGGTCAGATATTGGGTCAGTATTATATAAAGTTTATAAATTAAGATAAAGATCTGGGTTAGGTTTAGGCTAGGTTTAGGATTGCGAGGATTACCTCTGGGGCTTGTTGCATAAATTACGTCTCCTCCCTCAGCTACTCTCCCCAGTCCAATCCAGATTTCTTCTTCGCTCGATCTCAGCTTTATTTGCTCCAAAAAGGCAATTCAAGGCGATTTCTTGGCAAAATCTTGCGAAATCTTGATCATTTCTTCATAAATCGTAACACAGAGTAAGTCTTTGCTTAGTTATGTACGGTTTAACGTTAGTTAAAAGTATTTTGTAAGAAAATGCACGTTTAAATTAAACTTTTTTGATGCTCAAGTACGCCAATATGGCGTCCCCCTCGGAAGTATGAATTTGGGTCTCGATTTGGGTATGAAAATCTTTCCTTAGGCTCGCTAGAATTTAACAAGGTTTTCTTTTGATAATTAGGAAGATTTTTGAAACGATTTGCTTGTTTTATTTGTTGAAATTGTATTTATATTAACAAACAAGCATATGCAGAATATTTGTATATATTTAAAACCAGCTACTGTTTAGTATTGTATCAAATTTTAAAAAATTTATACTTTTAATAATGTACCCGAATAATGACTGAAACTTGAGTGAAATGTAAGCTCAAAACATGGTTGTTCAGCATGAAAACACACCATCTAGTGATTGACTAATTGTGCAATAATCAAATTACCATGATTATTCATCCAGGGTGCATTCCATGTAGCCAAACCCGAAGATCTTCGGCGTGGAGTTGTGATGCCCTACGGCGCAGCGGCGTGCAAATGCTAATGTTGGCGTGCCGGCGTAGTCTTTTTTTTCCCTCAACGGCGTACAAACTTAATATAATACAATCAGAAAATATCGTCGTTAAGTCTCTATTGTTTATCGGATAACTTAACAGTTTCATCGAATAATCGAATAACAATATTCGCGTTTGCAACCTGTATCAAATCAACACACGCGGAGATTTATTCTAATCGGCGTAATCGCGTTGCAAACGCGAATATTATTGTCATTCGATTATTCGATGACACCACGCGTGTCACGCCATTTTATTCTTAATTATGCACTTATAAATTATAATAATTTAAGTAATATATTTCAAAATATATTTAAAATATACGACGGTGTGTAACATTGTTAAAAAGCATGGCTGGCTGTTCTTTCGAAGCCATCGTTGAGGAAGATCTCGAGGAAGACACTGATGAGACTAAGGTTAGTTTATTATACAGTATATGTATATTTTCTACTTCTTGATGTCTAAAATATGAAATATTATTAAATACATTTAAATAATTTCATGAATTATTTACAGCCGCAAGCACACATTAATATTGCACAACAATATGTAAAAATGTAAAAAAAGCTCACAAAAAATGAGAAAATTGTACACTCGTACACTTTTTTGGAGTGATATGCCCGTAATGCCCCTTGAAATTAAAATACTTTATAATACTCAATTGTATGATAATTTCTAGAAATGTGCAGTATGTTTTAAAGAAGCAACAGGAGCACATCGATGCAAATTGTGCCACAAACCAGTGCATTTGCCATGCGGAGAGCCAGTTGGCGATGAAGGATATGGGCAGAAAGTTGTTTGCTTCGTGTGTGATAAAAGTAAATGTTTTTTATTTACATTGGTCCGGTGGGGATAATAACATTTTAATTTTGAGCACTATACTCTATAGTGAGCTTTACAAGATTGGTGTTATCAAACTGTTTTGTAAACATGTGAATAAGGCTGCAAGAGACTAAGACGAGATACGTGACGTAACTATAACGAATTATTAAATAACCTTTTAATAACGCCTACGCTGATTGGTTGAAAAGCGAAAAATCCCGTGTCTCTATAACGCTATAGAAAACGGGAATTTTCCACGAACCTCAAAATAACACACTAAAACAAACATTTTCGCCTGAAATATCAAATAAAAATCTTCGTCAACCTGAAATTTTGTTAAACAAGCAATGGAAAACACTTACCAAACGCTTTTTCGCTTTAAATTTTCTTTAAATCAACTTTTTCAGCGTGTTTTTTTCCATAATTTTGCAGTCGGCAAAACTGAAAATTGATGCCGGTATTGTTGCTAGGCAACATTTTCTTGTTATTGTGTAATGAGAATATACTTTTTAATCGCGTGAAAATATTGTTTTTGTGTTATTATCACAAGGTTATTTGATAAAGGAAATAGAAAACATTTTTTCCTGTTTTTCTATATAGTTATAGAAACACTTGTGCTAGTTTGGGAGAACGAGAAATAACGTGGAAATACTCGCACTACGTGCTCGTGTTCCCACTTATTATTTCTCGTTCTCCCAAACTAGCACGCGTGTTTCTATAACTCTATAGAAACACGGAAAATGTTTCCTATTTCTTAAATAGTCTTAAACCGTTACTTAATATTGATTAGCTAATTAAATTGTCAATTTGCAATTGGCAATTATTGCATGCTTATCGATATGGATGATTTTTTGTATATTTTGAAACTCAGTGACTGTGTTTAGTCCGTGCGGAATTGGAATAGTGTCACCTTAGACAACAAAACATTAACACCTGTATGCTCGCTCTATTCCAGAAAAAAACCCTAGGCCCCAAAACCTCCAGAAACGGCAAGTTATGTGGGATTGGAAGAAAGGATCCCCGAAAATCCCAGTAAAGAAGATGAAAATGGCAGACAAAGAAGAAAAAAGTGAAAAGTACGTTTGTCTGCAATGTTTGAAACAGCATTTGCAAGGAAAGCGTGATAAAAGGTTTGCGAATATTTGTCGTGCAGATGTATCCAGCGTAAAACGTCACAAACAGAGGTGGCACAGCTTGCCAAATAGCGCACAATGTACAATTGTTCCTGAATCGGCGCCTGAAGTGTCAGCTCTGAAGAAAGAATATCGTGAAGTAAAGCCAAAGGATCGTAGGGCTGTCTCGTATGCTGAGACGCTTTCCAATGCTGTAGAGAATATCACCAAAGAGAACACCATGGTAGATGACTTTGAAGTACAGCAGTTCCAGAAGCCTAAAGGAACAATGGAAAAGACAAGCGAGGAAATGGAAACGAACGACGGAATTTTTCGTGACGATTCGGAACTCAGTGATCTTGCTCCTTTGAAATCTCATTCTTCAGTGAAAAATCAAAGCACACTTCTCACGATGACAAGACCCAAGGCTACAGAACAAACAACAGATACCTCCCTGAAGCAAGTGATCGATGCAGTGGCTGATCTAAGCCTGAAGATTGATAGCATTGGAACACAACATAAAACCATGGTGCAATTGGCTTTAGAAGATGGTGAGGTACAGAAAAGTCTTTCCACGTTGAGAAAAGCAGAGAACATACTCCAACTGACTGAATCCTCCAAGTTACTGGAGTGGTTTTACGATGAAACAACTGAATGTGCTGTGTTACGATGCTTGCCCTGTTTCCAACTTCATCTTGCAGCCAAGCCAACCCTTGCCAAACTTACGCCCCTAAAAGCTCAACGTCTCCTTAATACAAGCGGTAGTGGCACTCTTGCTACTGGAATTTTCGTAAAGAAGGAAACTACTAGGCTTTTGATCCAAGGTCATAATCAAACGTGGTATCGTGAGAAAAATATTTGTATCGAGCATGTGTGCCTTATTGGTACTGGATCCATAACGCATAAGAAAGCCATGGAAGAGTACGAGAAGAACAAGCAAGCTGAGAAAAGAGCAGCAGCGTCATCGGGAAACGTTTTTCGTGCGGCGATAGCGGATGTAAAAGTTTGTGCTGCTGGAAGACATTTCGAAACTCTGATCTCTTTCCTAGCATGTTGCGGTGCGAACGTGGGGTCCATTGGACATTCTAGGAACAATTTTAACCATATCCTATATTGTTTGGAAAAGATTATAGACAAAAGGATTAACACATGGTTAAATACTCCCCTTTCATCTACGCTTCTCCCTCCGCATTTCTGGGCTACCACGGACAAAGCAACACCATCGCGAATAACAAATCAAGCTGTGATAATCGTAGCGAGAAATAATGAAGGCGTTCCTTGTCCTATCCCAGTAGCATCGCCTCCGGTCTACTCCGAATTTCAAGGAGCCACATACAGAGAGCTAGCCAAGCAACTATTAGAGGGAGTTTCACAGCACTTTTCTGAAGATGTGCTTTCACGCCTTTGTGGAGTTGCAGCCGATGGCCCATATCAGGCATCTGGTTTTGCAGCACAACTGAGGGAGTCTCTTGCAATTACCGGTGATGACCCAGATCTAGCATTGCCTGTTACTTGGGACACTGCTCATGTCCTTCATCTAGCAGTTACAGATGTCAGAGATGCTCAAAATCAAAGTGGAGCCTACTTTCGACAGTTCATCAAGCGATGCAACGTCTTTAACCACGTAATGTCGCACGGGAAAGGTTTTGCATTTCTCCAGATGGTAGATAAAGATGCTAGAAGGCCCGTCTCCTATGCCACTCAACGTTTTGCAAGTTCTGCGTACGAACAATGGCAGAAGATAGAAAAGAGCTACAGCTCCTTATGGAAGGCGTTTGACTTGCTCCATCCCCAGCGAAACGATAACGAAGAATGGCAGTATATGATAGCGGGGTCGGACTTTGTGGCGGATCTTCTGGCATTCCTTGATATCATGGGACCTGTCGTCGACCTGATGATTCGTGCCCAAGCACTGGATACACCCATGTGGAAGCTAAAGTTGTGGTGGCCAAAAGTCAAGGCGAAACTGATGAAGGCAGGTGGCGGAGATATGGAAGCTTTTCCAAGGTTGCAAAAGGCGCAAGATACACTCAAACCTGGAGAAACATTCAGAGATGTTGAATTGCTACAAGGTTGGCTCATTGTTCAAGACGATGGCGTTAACGCTGGGGAAAATCGCTTCAAATGGAGCATGCGAGAAGAGGATGAAATAAAGGAAGACCGTGAAAGATTTGCTAGGAATTTGGCAAAAGCTTTAGATAAGCGGGTTAGTACAGTTGTCAACCCTGCTGTGGTGTCCCACTTGGAAGTGTTTGATGCAGCAAATCTGGTGATGCTCCATTGCGGTGAAGTGAAGGACGGTTCCTTGAAGTATGTTCTCCCGGAAGGTGAGGTAGAAGAGTATGGCGTAGAATCATGCAAACGTGTGTTGAAAGTAGCGTCAGAAATGTCCCATATCCATTCAGCTGGAATAAATTTCGACCATCGCATGGCACATACCTACATGTCGCGGATAAAAAAAGCAGTAAAGCAAGGAATTTGGAACGGTACATGTCCTGAATGGTTTGAGAGTCAAGAAGCCTCAATGCCGCCGACGAAAGAAGGTGCCGATCTTGTAGGATTTTACTCGGTAAATACTACAGAGTTAGATTCAGTTTTTACAATGCTTTTCGCAAATGGTAACGTCCACAGAGTACGTCTTAACGAGCATCGCTTCTATGAATCCTTTTACTCGAGAAAGGAAATCTATGAAGTTGCCGAGCCTGCTGCCTGTGCACTCCTTGATATAGTTTTGGCAAAAGGAGACCCAGAAGCCATTGCAGAAAGTTTTTATAACGCAATGCGGAGTCAACAGCAATCTGGTGGCCAGTTAAATGAAACACTAGCAAGACGAACTAAGGTCAACTGGTGTCTTCCTTCATTGAAGCAGTGCGATGGTATCATCAAGGAAGCAGTCGCTCTCTATCTCCGTGGAGATGATGTGATTAAAGCCCACAAGAAAAACACGTTTTTTTCGGGCAGAGCTAAAGAATACTTTGTGTCAAAAGTTGTAGATCGTCATCATGCTGACAGTGGACGTTGTCCCTTTCTGGCTGACACTGAATAAATACATATTTCTCAGTTCAATAAGTACATAATTCGATATTACATTTGTTAAAGTACATATTTGCTAATGCTAGCATTAATTTAGGAAGTTAAAGTTCAATAAGTAAATTACAGGAAATCAGTGATCGAGGTGCATGAATTCCACTTCATCACCAACATTCAAGTGGTTTGTAAATTACTGTACATTGCTGCACCCTGCAGGAGCTAAAATGTTGTAGTTCAGCAGAAATGCGAGACCAACTGCATGGTGTAGTTCGTGGGCATCATGTTATCCATATGAAAAGTAAATAAAAATGCGATTATGATTTCACTAACTTTAAGGCCTGATCAGTGCCCATTTTACAACTATAGCCTTTCATATCTCGTTTACATTTAGCTTTTACAATTTACAACTGTTCTTTAGTCACAACTACCTCCCTTTTAGCCCCAGCATTGCAGGCTTATGTAATGCAGTTAAAAAGCTTGTATGCAGAACTATTATTATAAAGCACGTAATTTCGACTTGATTATGAAAATGTTCGCAGTTTAGGAGACCCTATAATTTCCCATTTCAAAAACTCATTAATAATTCATGATCTTTTTTGCCACCCAAATCAAGTATAATATGTTACATGCAGTGGCTTCATATTTGATAAAACACTTCCTACTTAGTATTCCTTATATAAAGAATACTAATTGTTTTTGAAGCCGTTCAATATACACTCGCGACTCGTGTTTTATTGTGTCTAAAACCACTCGCGCGGTAGCGTGGGCGGGGCTGCGAGCAGGCTATCTAGTAAAAATTCAACAAGCTTGGCGTAGTTTTCTGCCAAAATATAGATTAATTGAGTCTGGCGGCGTGTGCGAATTTTCCAGCGGCGGAACTTCGGCGTGCACTCTACATGGAATGCACCCTGGTACCACCACCTGTCTAAATTTTTTGCATATGAGAAATATAAACCCAGGCATTTCTTTTTTTGGACTTAGCATGGAAAAATAGGTAAAATTAACAAGACAGAGCACATTAGGACAAATTGCAGGTCAATGGGTCCAGCCACAGCCCTGCCCCTGCATTATTGCAGGCCTATGGACAGCTCTACATGTACCATACTGTAATGACTCATTCATGACAGAAAATTGGCTATTGCACACTGACCCTTTATACTAATATACTTCTGGCATAATTTAGATTATTAAAGCACTAAACTACTTAAAAGCTCTACACACTATGCTCAATTTTTGGTATGGCACAGATCAAACTGGTACCTGTACCAACTTTATCTGTGCTCAGCCAGTATGAATAGGTAGTCCAAGCATGGTAAACATGTTACGTGTACCAAAATTGAGCACAGTGTCAATGTTAACAGGCCTTAAAATGGCTGCATTTGGAGGCCGGTAAACTTAGGATTCATGTGTAATTATGTTGTTACTAGTTACTAAATTTTTGTAGGGCTGTTTATAAGATTGAGACTGATCTGGCCTAGGTGGCCACCTTAGCTGGGCCAGTTTGTCATTTCTTTCATATAAAGCACTAAAAGCAGACTATTTATTCTTGTTAATTCTTACCTTACAACACCAGTTTGCCAACTCAATCCAGATCTGATTGTCGAGACTTGAGAACAATATTTGGAGCACACCGGGCTATAATCTAGTTCCAATATTAATCTGAAAGTATATAAAGAGAACATTTGAGGCATTGTCTCAGCACTCATACATCTTCCAGCTTTTACAAACAAATCATTTTATACAACTGAAGCTTGTTAATAAAGAGCTTGCAAGACTCTCCCTTTGATGAGTAAAATTGTCTTAAGCAACATAGTTGCAGCATAATGGGTTAAGGATCAATACAGTAATACACTGATAGATCACATTCAATGCTGTAATTCTTCTGTAATTACAATCCTTATTCATGTATTACTGTAAAATGCTAACATATCTTTAACAGCATTCAAATGTTTAATATATTATTTCATATTGTTAAAAGCACAAGTATGTTTAATATATTATTTTATATCGTTTTATTATTAATTTATACACCCTTGACAAGGTCTAGAAAAGTGCCAAATAATTATGTGACAATTATTGCTAAATTGTTGATATTAATAGTGCATTAGTGCACAATTTACTACAGAATTTACTATAATAGATTCGAATTGATATTATATTCTTTCTTTCCTTGCCAGAAACCAACATTTCGTATGTTTCTTATGCAAATTGAACGCGGCAAATTCAAAATTATATTTAACAGAATTTCAGACACATGGCTCAAGTAACAATCATATTTTCACTACATTCTTTCGCAATTAAAGCGCTTAAATAACAAGTCAAAATATAACTATTCTTACCTGTGAGATCTGAATAACATTTTACGAACTTTTCCATGCCTTTTCCATCATTTGGGTTTGAAATTTCGATAAGTTTCTTCACCATGTAAGACATGTAAATGTGCTTTCAAATTTTTAGCACAAAAATTCGAAACGACGCTATCCCATGACACTTAGCGCTCCGACACTTAAACTAGGCACCAGGCCTCCAGGCAATGCGCGAACTATTGCTTCAGTTGTCATGTATTAAATCACAGTTAATATATTAACTGTGATTAAATATAGTTTTTCTATGAATATAAGGAATATTTACAAATGTTTTCAATCAGTTACTGACTGTTAATTAATTTATTGATAATAAATTCTCGGAAAATGAAAATTCTCTACAATGATTCAATAAAACATGGAAAGAAATCAACTTTAGAAATTAAATTAGAATGTAGTTATATGGTATCAGGAATGATGGAAAGGGGGTGGGGCAAGGTCTCCTTTCCTAAAGGGGGCAAATGTAGCATTTTAATATAAATAAAACACAATATTTTTGTCCCAATTTTACTTTAATAACAAATTAATTAACAAAGATAAATATGATAGAAGAGAATTTGTATATTTAATTAGCTATTTCCAAAGTCCTGGGTCTAGTCACAAGAATCCCTTGTTGGAGGGACAAAAAAAAGACAGCACACATTTAAATTAAAGTTTAATGTAAAAAGGAGATATCTCATTTTTGGTCATGTAAAAAGTTGATATTTTATAGTAGATACTTCTACTCTTTCACATATTTGATGCCTGTCTCCATATATTTTGTCCCTCCAAATGACCCCAGAATATGCACTGAGAAAAGGCTAATTACGTGAATATACTAACCCATATAGAATCTAAATCCAGGATGACATTTGACATCTTGTTAAAAGAATATTGAGGAAAAATATATCATTTTGAGAAAAAAATGCAAAAATTGCAAAAGATGTTATATTTAAATTTTAACAAATTTATATTCATTCTTCGAGAAAACTTAAGTAAGAAATAATTTGTTATTAACCATTATTTCTTATGTTAAGAATTTGATTTCATGTTTTAAAAATTATCTTAAGAAAATGATTTGATATGAAGATGATGAAATCGTAAGAAAACATTCATATTTCAAGAAAACAAATGTAATTTAAGATATGTTAAGAGAATTTTTCTTATTTCAAAAAATGTCTTGCAAATCAAATACTTCTAATTTTAAGAATCATTTTTCTAATTAAGAAAATTAGTTTCTCATTTCAACAAATATTTTCTTGAAGTAAGAATTGTTTTCTCAATAAGAAATTTTTTTTTGCTGTGTAGTCGAGATACTGTATATTGACAGACAATTGGCATATCTATATATATCTGCAATTTTTATGCAGATATTTTGCAGATATTTTGACAGACAACTGACATATCTGCAAATATCTGCAACTTTTATGCAGATAGTTTGCAGATATTTTGACAGACAATTACCATATCTGCAAATATCTGCAACTTTTATGCAGATAGTTTGCAGATATTTTGACAGACAATGGACATATCTGCAAATATCTGCAACTTTTATGCAGATATTTTGCAGATATGTTGACAAATACTCAACATATCTGCAAAATATCTGCAACTTTTATGCAGATATTTTGCAGATATTGTAGACCTTGTTGCAGTTATGCTGCAGTACTGCAACAGATATGTGACAGATACTTGCAGACATTTTACATATATGTCAGTTTGGTAAGGGAGACGTCTTTAATTTCTGCGTGAAAAACTAACTAGTCTCTGTAAAAAGTCGTGGCAATTAATAAGTGCTTAATATACAAGCAGCGAATAAAAAAAGAACATAAACCCCCCAAAAATCTGTTTGAGTGGGTTGGATAATGATGAGGCTAATGTATCCGTGTCGAACATCAATACTTGCCTTGAATGCATGCCGCCTGTTATGTTTGACTTTTGGCGGAACTGGGTGAAAAGTCGCGTTTCGCGCGTAAAAAGTCTTGCGTAAAAGTCGTAATGAGTCGAAAAATGCCCTAAATTTGCGGTTTTCCCTAGAAAGTAGCCGCCTGCTTTCAGCCGGAATGGGCGCTGCTGAGGAGGCTAGCTAAAAAAGCATTTTAATTTGTGGAACAATGCTCAACTGAATATTTAAAATGCAACGAGGGGCACTTCACTCCAAAAAAGCGTACGGGATTTTCGGATTTTTAAAAATCCGCGGATTTTGTAGCTGATTTTCCCCGGATTTTTTAGCGGATTTTTGAAGAGAAAATCTGTTGGATTTTCCGGATTTGTTTGGATTTTCCGGATTCATTCGGATTTTTTCTGGATTTTTGTATCTGCGAAGCAGATATATATGCTATCGCAAACGTGACCGTACCGTATGTTAACAGATAGCCATTCAGCGACGAGCTTATATATTTTAAACATTTTATGCCAATTTAAGCCAATCAGCGATTCGTTTACATCAATTGTTCACATCGTGCCCGCTGATCTAACCTGCGAACGGGCATACTTTAGCTTCGTCAGGCCTCGTGTATAAATCGTGTTTATATTCTTTCAAAAATATCTTGATATTTTTATCAATTTATCTTGAATTGGCTGTCTTTTGCGATATTATTCGGAAGTTATTTATCAACATGGAATCTTATCCTCATCTGGTAAGTAGTCAAATACCACATATTATATATTTAAA